AACAACTTTTGGGAAAGCAAGGCTATGTGAAATTCAATGGAAACGTCAGTTCAACTCATATCATTGTGGGGAAATTCTAATACCAGTTTTAATCTCGCCTTATCGGGGTCGGACACTGCCCGTTGCGCATCATGGCGACACGTCCCCCTCCGCTTGACAACTTGGAATGCCATTTTAACAATAGGCAAATGAGTCTTTAAAAGCGAATCAGACCTCACCAGAATCGCAGTTATGGTTGGGTCATCGCTTAGGTGAAGATGTGTTTGCAACTGTGCTCGATGATATTACTTACAATCAGTATGAGTAGGCTTGGAATCTATCAGTAATTTTTGACAAAATACTCAGTCTCTCTGAGGCGCTCCTAAAGACTGAGAAATGAATTTTATTACAATAATATTTATAGACCACATCATATCATCATTCTAAGCAGCCTGTAGGTGACCATGTAGGAAGTTCATTTTGTTCTAACGAAATTGCTTCCACGACGAATGTATACGCATCACGGACTCTTAAAAAGAGTAGGTTAGAGAGGCGTTGTCCCAAGGACGGCAGACTTCTAGACCGTGAACCCCTTCAAATGAGTCCTTCTATACAACGTCCATTTAAGATGTATTCACCCTATTTCGTTTAAGGTGATGAATGACTGGTAATTGGATTTTCTCACAATCTGATGAGTAGACATGACGTTTCTTGTTCCGTTGGGGGAATTTATAAAGCCTGTGATAGATCGAAATTGCAGTTCATTCAGCCTGGATAAGAATACCTTTTGGGAAAGCAAGGCTATGTGAAATTCAATGGAAACTTCACTTCGACTCATATGATTTTGGGAAATTTAACTACCACTCCTTTATCACCTTGAAGGAAATGGAGTGAACACATCTAATAAATCAAATTTAATAGTAGTCTTTAAAACCTAATCAAAAACAAAAAATGACAATGTCCAAAACGAAAAAAATGTGAAAAGGTAACGCATCTCAACAATGACACTTGCCTAGACGAGGAGACCCTTTGAGAGCCAAGTCTGGCATCTTGAGCCCTTATATTCATTTCATTATGGGTAGTTTAGACGACCTGCACTAATACACTTTCGAATTCGTGACAGAAAGTGATTTCACGGTAGTTAGGCGAAGAGCATATCTCAAAAGTATGCAAAGCAACTATGGTCTCTACTTTCCTTTAATTTTAAAACCACCAATTTATTTGCAGCTACGAAATATTGGTTTACATTTAGCCCGTTCACACTTGTTCAAGAATACTAAGAGGTGGCTTTCTTTGAGTTTCATCTGCGTCAAGGAGACACATTTGGCTCTGGTAAGCAGTAACGACCTCTGTTGCTAGCGAGACAAAGAGCATCCAGCAAATCGCGAATCATCTATTACGTCTTCTTTCGGTATGATCCGCAGATCGACTAAGTGGGAGAACTCAACAAATCTCTTTAAATGTAGCACTTTTTTTAGTAAACTATAGAAGACTTGAGCTCCATCTGCAAACTGGCACCAAGTCTAGCCGACAGTTGTCCGTCTGTTGGAGCTGACGGCCACCGATAATCTCATCGCCGCAGAAGCTGATCAACGTCCGATGCGCAGGAATTGTGACCTCTTTCCAAGCCTGACGAAGGTGCCCCACTTTCCCAGTCGCAGAAACTGGCTTCGCTTTGTGGACAACTCGGCCAGACCGCAAGGATCGCACTGCTCCATTAGGTCCCTCTCCGAAAGCTCAGCCTCCCCAGCACTCGCGACTCCATTCGCAGACGGCTCACTCGAATCCAGCTCGACCAAGCACTGGGCAAATGATGCGCTGCCCAATAGCCAGGCCGTAGTGGCCAGTACAAAGATCAGAGGACACCGAGGGCTAGAAGAAATGAACAAAAAATGCGCCCATGTTAGAAGAAGCAGAGAGAAGAAACCGGTGATCTGACTAAAGAACGAGGAGGCTCAGACAGGATGAGGCTCCGCAAACATCACTATTGGGCTCGTTTGTCCTGCATATGAATGTGCAAAGTGAGCTGAGTCTGGGAACAAACGGTCGAGTGAGTTAAGTCTGTCACGATCTTCCAGCTCATTGAAATATTTGCGCTGGCGCCTCATTCGTCTTTGAACAAATGTGCTCAGGCTGTAGTTCTAACAACCACTTAACGTTAAAATCATGTCCATTTCTATTTCTACTCTCCTCATGAGCCTATTTCGGACTATTGCTTGTCTGCAGCTAAAAGAGAAGTGATATGCTGTGATTGCTTATTGCGACATGAATTATCATTTCAAAGAAAAAGTTGGTTAGAAAGAATTCGTGAATTGGTCTGATCGGAAACCGAAGAAGGCTTAACTTGACTAGTGACTGAATAGGAAAAAAGATCTATGCTTACTGTCCCATAATCCAGAAGAATCCATGCTGAACTTTCGTCCGTCATGTGATAGACATCGTCAGGGCCAGTAACCATTATTTACGAATAATCAGATCTACTTATTTTTCTTTTTGCAAGTAGGCTTTCGAGACTACCGGTAGATCATATAAATGTCACTAAAGAATGTTTCGAAACCCAGTTTCTCTTCGTATATTTTTTATCCTTTATTCGTTTGTCCGTCTCTGATTGATTGTCGACTTATATGTCTGCTTGTTTGTCTACTTGATTGTATACATGTATTTATATATATATATATATATATATGCGATTATTTCTGCTTGTCTCTCTTCTTACCTGCCTGCATATTACCGATTATGTATCTACCAGCGTTAGCCCCAACTAACATAAATATTTTCATGAACTTCCATTTGTGGAAGAGCATCAGGGGGATTTCAGCAAAAAGGAGTTATTGATCTCTGTATCTGGGCCTGTCCTTTTGTGTGTGTAACTGAACGATGTGTGACTGTGTGAAACTTTATGGGGCTCTTACTATGTGATGTAAGGAGTACTCCTACTGCCTTATCTCTTCGTAATACAGGAGCGGGGCAATAGCCCTGTTGCCAAAGAGCGGATCGGAACCAGGTGCCTTGTTCCATATCTTGTTAATCTACAGTTCAGGGCAGAATTTACAGTCCTCTAGAGCGAAATTCCTCACATGTGTCATGTCTATTATACAGTACATAACGTGTGATTTCTCTTCCATTTACCATGTGGTAAGCAGCTCTTCTTTGGAGGTTGGGATAAGTCATTGTGGTAAAAGTCAACTATCAGTCATTTATAATGCTCTGCAACCCAGGCTGAATACAGCTCCCATTCAAGATTTACAGGTAGCTTCGGAACTTGCTCATAACGAATATGAGTAAACCAAGTAGGAAGAGTAGAGTAAAGACTTATTTTTTGTAGACTTAAGAGAATGAAAATGAAAAAAACAACCAAACTAATGAGGGCGGCCAAATCGGTAAAGTCTAGCTATTTGAGTACATTTCATTTTGTTAAACTGTCAGTAAGGTCACCCAAATGAACCTCTCTTATCATGCATTGAAAGTGAACGTAAAATGGTTGATGACTTTGGGCTGTTTTGCGACCGCCCTAAGCACGATCAGCTATCGTTGGCCTATACACATGCATAAACATACACAAACACACATGCATATTTGTCTCGCTCAGTGAAACTAGCTTCTCTATAGATATCCTGAGTCAACATTTATTGATAGGTTATGCGCCTATTAAGTACTAATGAAAGCAGAACATGTTGGAGTGCCTTTCATTTCGTTTGAAGAGACGAGTGTAAAGGATTCGTAAGTTGGTTCCACCAGAGGCTGTGGGGGGTTGTCTTGGGATACGAATAGGTCCTATAAAATGATAACATGTTTTTGCCGAAATATTCAAAGAGACTCGTTTGTTGGTAAGATGAGCTAATAATCTCTTTGCCTCACATCCTGTCACGAAATCTAAGAGAGCCAAACACTTATCCACTTAAGGGGTGAACAATACAGGAGACATAAGTGTGATAGCACAAAAGTATGAGGGCCATGAAATTAGGTTGGCTCACCTCCAGAGGTGATATACTCATTCAACTGTATATATTCAATAAGGACAACATTTAACAAAAAGTTTTAATAAAAATTCATTTTAACGGGAAGAATAATAACGAAGACTGTGGTGGTATAACCCTGTTGAGTTCACTTCCACTTTGAGTGAAAATGTGCGATGAAGAGATTCTAAGTTCGATCCCACCAGGAGACGACGTCCGAATTCTTTTAGCTAACTTTATTTGTTGAGGTTCTCCACTAAGCGGTCTCCTTCGATTTTGGTCAAAATTTGCCGAGCATTTGTCTTTGCCAAATGATGGACAGCATCAGAGCAGAATGCCATTTTTATAAGTAGTTGAAGCCCAAAAGTCAAGAAAACCCAACATTTTCCAGACTGGTCCCTCAAATTTGTTGTAAGAATGACACCCTGCTCTGATGAAGCTCGCAATAGGAAAGACACAATCTCAGCCATTTTTGACTGTAATTGAAAGCGACTGCCTCCGAAGAAGCATCAACCAGAATGTTCAGGCAAAGAAATACGGGACCTGAATAAAAGCGCGGGACACGTAATTCGCACAGACAGAGACAGCTTCATGTTGAGGTGTGAGTTTACCGAAACTCATGTATCAAATGGCTGTTCGTAACCAAGTGAAGTTTGGATGCAGCTGGCTCGCCTTCGTGGCCAGGAGTCAGCAGGAGCTGGATTCAGAAGGAGCAGACACCAACTCATCCGAGGGCATTCGTAAGTGTGATCCCAGTCCGCAGGTTGAGCAGCCCAGTAGACAACTCGTGAAAGGGAAGTCCCAGCACTAAGTGTGTACATGAACAAGGCATCTACAGTCGAAGACTACTTGGCTCTACATGGCTGGCCATTTCGAGGGATCCTCTCTCGTCCAAATGTCTACTTACTACTCACTCATTTTTAAGTAGTGCCTGCTCCATAGCAAGAATTACTATTGCTCAAGAGAGCTTCATATATAAAGGTGGGAGTGGGGACGGTAGAAGATTATGAAAAACTGTCAAACAATCCGACCGTGCAAGAACTGTATTTACCCTATTTCATTTAAGCTGATGAAGGATGTGTAGTTGAATTTTCATATAATTAATATGTGCAGGCTTCACGTTTTCACTCGATTTCACACAGACTTGCTTCCCAACAGACTAGAGTGTAGTGCAGCGTATAGTTTTGACACGACCAGTCGACCAGACTGCCACGAGTGCTCTCGGGTCACGAAGCATCTTAAATGAAATATTATGAACAGCGTTCTTATTCAAGCTCTACTAGTAGCCTCGAAAGCCTAGATAAAAACGAAAATCCGACTGTATTGCAATCTGACACCGCAAGAGATTTTGCCGCTGCACCTGATCGCTGCAATCTGGCCTACAAACTTACCTGTCTGCGGCCGTAATTTATTCACTTCTCAATTGTTCACATGAACAAATGGAAGATGCGTCCCAGTTATCAGACGTGAAGCAACCATAGAATTTGGCTTCTCCTAGGCTTGGCTATGCCGTCTGTTGCGAATGTCCTTTTCGGAAGACAGCTTGCATTTAACTTGAATACATTCGCATTCCACACAAGCGACCGTCAGTCCGGTGGGCGACATTACGTCGTGGTTGCGTCGCTTGGAGCAGCTCAATTTCGCATATAAGGCCGAGGACAAGTCCGGCTTTTCAATATACTCCCGGACGCTTGCTTTCACTCAATCGGTTAAGTATGGCTCGTGTGACTGGATGAGGCCTTAAAGAAAATTCCCCGAACCTTCTTTCTTGTGCCCGATTCTGCATGTCGACAAAGGCGCCCAGAGATGGTTGCTACTCGTCGGTTGAAGCCAGTCACAGCAACACGCTCTTACAGTGACCTTCCGTAATCATCTTAAGTGCTCGGGTTTCAGATGCAAAAGATGAAGGTGCACAGAGGTACTCGCATTTTTGTGAGCAGAAACCAGACTATTTGGCACTAGTACTGCAATCTTCCTCTCCTGCTGAAAATGAATTCTGCCCACTTGTCCCAACGTTAAGCTGCCCAGGAGACCAGAATTTTCACAGAATTTTGCTTCCGCTTCTGAGGCACCAAAAGTCTGCTGTCGTGGCTTGCATTCCTCATAAGCGCGTATGTTGAAGGGATTTGTGGTTTGATCGCTCAAGAAGACAATGGTGAATTATTGGTTGTCTGCACTAGCTTGATGTTGCAATTCCGTTCATGTTGGTGCAGTTCACGAAATCTTCTACCCAGGTTCGGGGGCATGCAGACCGAACCTTGATAGACACCATTAAATCCGGATCTCATTCTTACTAAAGATTTGGGTCAACAAAATGTATATACATATATATATGTTTGTGTGTGTGTGTCTTCATGTGTTTGCATATGTACTAACCCAGCAGGGATGGCTCAAAGTAATTGGAATAGAACGTAATATTTGCTCTCGATCATCACGGTTTACTCTTAACCAGCACTCCAGTTGCGTAAAGTCGGACACACGTTTGGCTAAGTTGAGGAGGATTTTGTCTATGTGTGAGAGAGCACGATTGAACTAGGCAGGATAGAAAGCAGGAACCAGTACCGACAGAAGGCCTGTTGAATCACATGCTTCTTTCGAGTGGCAAAACAGCCTCTCTATCCTCCAGTCGGTAACTCCTTACCGGCACTCTTGGCACTCAGTTTATTGCCTAATCGGTTGATTTCTATGACCGCTCCCATTTTTCGCTTAGCTGAAGACGTTCCCTAATCAACAAAGTGACAAGTTTAAGAGTATTCAACCTCGTGTCCAGTTTCCACAAAGCCAACCGATAGATAGCCAAGACGCCTGGTGGGATTGGCGTTGGAATCTCTTCACCACACACTTCCACTCGAAATGGAAGCAAGCTCAAGAATCAAGAAGAGTCGAGATAGGGCAGGGTGCAAGGAGGTCAAACAACAATTGAGACATCTGCTCACCTGGAAGGAGTGGAGTTTTGTCTTTGTGACCTTCGGACGTAAGTCATGGCTGTCGAGATGAGGCGGTTCTGATGGACGATCGGGTCTGTCGGACGGACCAATTTATGCTGATTTGGGCTAATGGCGGCTAAAGACCGGTGCGTTGATTGGTCGAGACCTCGCCCATCGGTGAGCCGACAAAGTGGGCAATCTGTCGTCCGGTTAGACAGTTGAATGGTTCACATGACATGTTGTCGTGGGCAGTGAGTGCCGACGAACACCGCCGACTGGTTGATGACCGACAAGATGGCAGCCAGAAAAGGGATACAGGCAAAAGAGAGAACGACTTCCGACGGAGTCAGCTCCGGCGAAAGGGATTCTCAGAGGCCGCCATGCCTTCAGACCAATCACCGGTCAGACACAGACTGTGAGCCGAACGAGGCAAGACATGTCCCACTCAACTGCTCCCCTCCATCTGCCACAGCCTGTTAAGCCTTTCTGTATGGTCTGGCAGAAACGGACGTCAAGTCGAAATGCCGGAGGACACAACTCGAGGTCCTTAAACCGGTTGTAGGAGGAGTGC